CTAACTCTACATTGGATTTCTGAGGCTGTAAATTGCACAGGAAGAAGCTATGGCCCATTTTCTCTCAGCTTAGACACTAGTACTTCAATATGCTATCATTCCCAGAGGAATCCACTGGTTGGAGAAGGAATACCCCAGATGAGTTTCTGGCATCAAAGGATTAAAACTGGTGTTCTAATTAGAAGGATTCCAGTGACACAGTGCATGAGGAAAAGGTCAGCAGCTGAAATCCTCCAGTCATTGTGAGGGAGAAAGATGGGCAGCCTCCTCCCATAATGTTTTTCAATCTTGGAAACCTAGTACAGGTTTGCCATGAGTCAAAATCAAATTCCACATTCTGAGTTATAGCCACAGCTGACCACATAGAAAAACTGTCTGTCTACCCAAAGCTCTACTTCCAAAAAAAGGTTTGCAAATGTCCTGTCTATGAATATACTGAGTAGTTCAATAAATACCAGACTACACTGCCTTCTTCATGTGAAACTGAGAAGGAAAGTAGAGATGATACACAGATTTACATTTACTGGTCCTTTTGTCTGTTTCCTTTTTCTCTTTAGTGCTGTTCACACTTAATATATTCATTTATTCATATATTTTTCTCCCTCTATTCTTATTGAAATATAAATTTAAAAAAGGTCAAAAGAGTTTAGTCCATTCTTATGTTCCCAGTACTTAAAATAATTACCGGATCTTTTTAGTCAGTATCTATGGAATGGATGGAGAGATGGATGAATGGGTATATGGATGAATAAAATGTATCTCAGGGCCAACTCCTATGTTTAAAGGGATTTGTTATCTTGTGGAGAATAAATAAATACAGAGACTCAACCATAGAATAAAGTAAAATTAGGGAATTTCTAATAAGGAGTAATGGACACCAAATGCTAAGAGAACGGTGCAATTCAAGCACGTCACATGTAGACTACTGTTTCCAGGTGACCAATGTAGATGACACTTGGTGCGCCCATTTGAAAGCAGAGAAGTGGTTGTTGTTGTTGTTATTGCTAAGTGCCGTCACATCACAGACGACTCGATGACACATAACAACATAAAACCTTAGGAGGCAAAAACAAAACAAAAATCCATAAAACTAAAAAGTTGATGAAAGCTGAACTCCAGACTCAAGAACACTAAAGGAAAATCTGAAAACTCAGTTATCAGTTGTGAGGCCCAGCACAGCCCATGCGTCAGGGAAAACCATGCTCTGTGAGGCCTCCACGGCTGATCTGAGAACACCAGACCTTTCTCCCAAATTCTCCTCCAACCTTGCTGTTAGCAGCACACTGAGCTGACCATTTGTAAAACCCAGGGACTTTCAAGTTCTAACCTAGGCAATTCTGGAACTCCTTCATCTTAGGTCAAATAACATGCTCCTGCATTACTTCACAGCAATCTAGTCACAAAGTCTTCCAGAATCAAGCTCACGGCCACTAAGACACTGACAACTCACAGCAACCATCTGTCAGGTTTCAGAGGCTGTAGATCCTAACAGGAGGGGACTGCTCACGTTCTCCCTCGGAGCAGCTGGTGCATTTGGACCACGGGAGAAGTGCAGACTTGGGTTAGCATTATCTCTGCCAAACTTTGGGAAAGGAAATACCAACGTGATGAAGTACAGGCAAAACATCAGCTGTGTGTAAGGTTGACCCCGATGTTCTCATTTTAATCTGGCATTTATCTTTGATACACTATTGTCATTATATATCATCAAGTGAGAACCAACTCATAGCTGACTCTCCAGTGGGTTTTGAGACACAGTAAATCACACAGGAGGAAACTGTCCATCTTTATCCCTCAGAGTAGCTAGTGGTTTTGAGTTTCACAACATATCTTACTGCTATCTTATCTTTGATAAGAACTTACCTACAAACAAAATTTTAAAGATCTACATATGGATGGGTGGAAAATATGGGCAATCTCCTTCCTTGTAATGTATAGACTCTGAAAACCCACTGCAGGGCATGGGGAGGGGATCACCCATTAGTCAATTTCTACTCAACAGGAATAAATTTTGAGTCTGGTGCACATTTTGCCTGTTAGAATTCTATAAACTTTGGGGATTAAAACTCCATCTCATTAATTTAAAGTTTCATCTTAAAGGTTGAATCCCTCAAGAAAGCCCACAAATGTTTACCAAAATGCAGAGAGATCAGAACTTATATCCACTGTATTTTGAATGTAAAATGGTCAAACTGCTTTGGAAAATTATAATCAATCAATCAATAAACAGAGCCACTTTATGATCCACCAATTCCACTTCTCAGAATACACCCTAGGTAGGAGCATGAGCAAACACAATGCTGACACTGATTGCAGCACTGTTTGCAGTGACACAAAGTGAGAAACAAAATATGGTGTATACATACTATGAGATTACAACCTAGCCTTAGAAATGAATGAAGTCACTTAGAATGGCACAGGATAGAATAAGGTTCATATCTTTTGTTTATAGAGTTGCTATGAGTCATACTTGACTTGATGGCACATACCAACATTAATGAACGAACCATGGAGCCATTGATGGTGTTGTTGTTGTTGTTGTTGTTATTGTTTGCCGTTGAGTTACCTGCGACTCATAGTGACCATATGTAGAACAGTCCTAAACTCTGCTCTATCCTGTGTCAATCTTATTGTTTCAAACATATCTCCATTACTCCAGTGACTGAATCAATCCATCTAATCCAGGGTCTTTCCCTCCTGCACTGTCCCTCAACCTTCCCAAGTATGACATCCCTCTGCAAGGACTGGTCCCTCCTTGCAGCATGTCCAAAGTATGTCAGATGGAGCTTCAGAATCCTTGCCTTCAAGGAGCAGCCTGGCTTCACCCTCTTCAGGATGAACTTGTTTGTTCTCCTAGCAGTCCATGATCTATTCAATATTATTCTCCACCACCACAGCTCAAAGGCATCATCAACTCTCCTTCTACCATCCTTAGTCAATGTTCAGTTCTCTGATACACTGCAAGTAATTGCAAAGACCATGGCCTGTATCAGGTGCACCTTAGTCTCCAGACTGACATCATTGTTCTTCAGTTTGGAGCCATTATGCTTAGTGAAATAATTTCATTTCAAAAGGACAAATAGATAAATGTAGATAGATATAGAGGGGCTTCAGGCCTTTTGTTCATAGGGATGCTATGAGTCATGCTCGACTTGAAGGCAATCAACAACAACAACATGGCCTGGATCAGGTGCACCTTCATCTCCAGACTGACATTTCTGCTCTTCAGTACTCTGGAGAGGTCCCTGATAGCTGACTTTCCCAGTGCAATTTGTCTTTTAATTTCCTTGCTACTGGTACCAAGAGTGTTGACTGTGGAGCTAAACAAACTGAAGCTCTTAAAAATCATTAACAACTGTCTATCATGATGCTGCCAATTAGGCCACAGTGAGAATCTTTGTTTTCTTGATGTTGAGCTTCAATCCATATTGAAGGGTGCAGTCCTTGACCTTCTACAGCAAATGCTTATTTAAAATTGACAAAAAAGAATTTTGTTTTGTCAGTAAAGGGAAAATTTCTAGGTCTTGCAGCCATCTTTTTTCCCGGGCATATGTTCACTCCTCTGATAGCCCAAAGTATATTTAAAAGTATCAGTAATTCTAAGGCATTTCTTATTTATTGCATGTCTTTCCTGTGCACAAGAGGTGCTCAAAAAGGTCATAGCTTGAGTCATGTGCATCTCAGTTCCCAAAATGACAACTTAGATATTCAATATGTTGCAGGTTGTGTTGGGCTAGGTTCTCTGAAGAAGTAAAACCAATGACAGAGTGAGAGAGAGTGACAGAGACAGACACAGATAGAGACATATACACACAGAGAGAGAGGAAGAGAGAAAGCTTCCACTAAATGATATGATTCCTTGGTTTTAGAGGCTGGCAAGACCAGTGCAATTCCAGGAGAGATGAGCTACGTACCTGGAGCTTCAAAGGCTGGTACAAGATCAGCAAGCAAGGCATGCCACTGACTCAAGAATCATAGAGAAATGAGCCAAATCAAGCAAAAACCAGCTCTGCTCATAGTATACCTCATGAAGGGAATAATTACATCAACTTCATAAGGGAATGACTACATTATAACTGCCAGACCAGATAATCATAGGCTGCCAAAGTGGGACATGACTTAAGTATAACAGCTGTCTTTTGTGACAGATTTACTCAATGAAATACAATGTTTGAGTTCTTGATGACAGCTTCCAAGGGAATTGATTGCAGATTCAAATAAAATTAAATTTGTAACATCTTCAATTCTTTCTATATTGATTGTAACATCGTTTATTGGTCCAGTAGTGAAGGTTTCTGTTTTCTTTATGTTGAAGTGTGATCCACACTTAAGGCTGTAGCCTTTGATCTTCATCAGTCAATGTTTCCATCTCTCATCACCCTGGAGAAGTTTAAAGACTTTAGAAAAGGTAAGTCACTATCAGGTGAGTTTCCCACTGATCTGCATGGGATCAGAAAGGGTTTTTTTTTTTAAGCACTGTGAGTTGCATTCCCATTTGCTGGAGAGAATGAGGCTCTGCTAGGGGAAGTTCCTCACCTGTCACACTGCAGAGGACTTTAAGAACTTTAGGAAAGGTGAGCTTTCCCACCTAACAAGACAAGAAGAGAATTCAGATAGAGTGAGTTGCCCTACTTCTTCAAGGGAATACTTT